GACATAATGGAGCTTGAGAGGGTGGGTCAAAGGCTGGAATGCAACCCTCCAGATGTTGGAAAGTCACTTCCTTGGGGCTCATAGTGAGGCCAGCTGTACCCTTTGTGCGATATTTGTTGGTACACTGCATATACATGTTGATCAAATAAAACAAGTCCTGATGGTTAGTAGGATGAGTTTTTTTAGCATCTTAGAGTTTCTTAGAATCTTAGGGGAGATTAGTGGACATCATGGAGCAGGAGAGGGTGGTCAAAGGCTGGAATGCAACCCTCCAGATGTTGGAAAGCCACTTCCTTGGGGCTCATAGTGGGGCCAGCTGCACCCTTTGTGCGATGTTTGTTGGTTTCTCAAAAGACATCTGGTTGGCCACTATAGAAAACTGAATGCTGAACTAGATGGGGACCAAGAGCATGGTTTGTCTTGGGAGCCAAAAAATCTTTGGGCCAGCCCTGGCTGGATCACCACACCAAGTAAATTTGGACTTGTGGGTCACCGTGCCAAAAAGGTAGGGAGCCGCTGACTTAAGAGCAATGACGCTCCATATGTGATTTCTAGTTCTGAAATAGTGACCAGATGCGTCTTGGCATTCCAGTCTCACAATTACGTTGCACACTCCATAAAGGAAACAACATTCACAGAGGACATGAAGACAAAAGAGCAGGTCTGCTGCACAGCTGGTATGGTGTGAGAGCCAAGAGCCAGGAGCACACATCAAAAGAGGCAAATCTGATCATTCGCGATGTTCCTTCTCATTCTGCATCTTGCCTTCTCAGGACGTCTTCACATAAGCTGTGGCAATGTACTTTTTCCCATTGCCGTAGGTGGATTTATCCCAGGTGTATGTTTGGATATCCAGATCGTGACTCCCAAGTTTCAGATGGCACCTAGAGAAGAGAAACCTGGCATTCAGTCTCATCTCTCAGCGAACCTGTTCCACCCATCCATCATAAGAGAGTGGGGTACCAATTGTTAGTTTCAGACTGGGGGGAAGATAAGCTAGCTCTGAATCAAGCCAGCTGTGATTGCTGTCAACACAGGTATTCTTTCAGACAGATTGGCGGGTTTCAGATCTCCAGATTGGAACTTCATGCATCTTTGAAAAAGTGGGTCGAACCAGGGCATGTTGAGCTTTGAGCTGTACGTACAGCAAAGCAAACTCTCCAACCAACGGCTTCAGCATCTACAAATGGAAAGTCAACTCCTATCCAGTGTTCCCTCTAAGCTGAGTTAGTGTGAGCCAGCTCACAGTTTTTTTAGCCTCCAGCTCACACAATTTTGTCTTAGCTCAGGAAAAACGGCTCCAGAGCAGACTAAGTTAGGCAGTAGCAAAACCGTTGGCTCACAACTCTAATGCCAGTAGCTCACAAAGTATAATTTTTGCTCACACGACTCCACAGCTTAGAGAGAGCATTGCTCCTATCTGTGTTTCAGGGGGTGGTCGTTTTGGTGTGCAGTAGAAAAGCTCGATTTGAGTCCAGTCGCATGGTGTCCCTGGTATAAGCTTTCTAGAGGCAAAGTTCCCTTCCTCAGACCTGTTCATATCTGCATGAATCAGTCCTTCATAATTTTGGTGCCTGCATTCAGCCATCTGCCCCTAGATCCCTAGAATCACAGAGTTGGAAGGGACCTTCAGGGCAGCCCCGTAGCTAGGGAATTCTTTGGGAGGGGGCCTTCGGGGGCCGCCAGCTAATTAAATGGAAGTACAGTGCAGGTGGTAAGTTGGAGCACTTTGGGGGCAGCCCTGGAGGGAGGGGGCCCAGAAAAAACACAAGGGGGCTGGGCCCCGTGGGCCCTATGTTAGCTACGGGCCTGCTTCAGGGTCATCTAGTCCAACCTCCTGCACAACGCAGGAAATTCACAAATATCCCCCCACACACACATACCCAGTGACCCCTGCCCAGAAGATGACAAAAAAACCCTCCAGGATCCCTGGCCTAAGCTGGCCTGGAGAAAAATTGCTTCCCAAAGTGGCAATCAGCATTTCCCTGGGCATGTAAGAAAGGGCCACGAGAACTAAGCACTGAGGCAACCCTTCCTGCCCTCCCCTCTCATGAACTGCCTAAGTTCACAGAATCCACATTGCTGTCCGATGGCCATCTAGCCTCTGTTTGAAAACCTCCAAAGAAGGAGAGCCCACCACCTCCCTGTACCAAACTATGCCTCCTTCCCCTTAAAATCAGTCTTTGGAGTAACAATGAATATTTTGGCTCCAGTCCTCAATACAGACTCTGAGCATCCACAGCGCCTTGTGTAGGTGGAGCCAGATGAATGGGAATCACTGCCAAAACAGGTGGCCATGGTAAAAATCTTTCATGGGACAGAAAGATTCTCAGTGGATTGGTCCCCAATGTCCATGGATCATGATAATTAAGGAGAACCTCCATATTCAGGAGCATTATACCTCTGTGTAACAGACGCAAGGGACACAGGAAAATGTTTGTGCCCTGCTTGCGCAGCTGCTGTTAGAATGCTCAGCTGAATGGGCTCTTTGGTCCAAGGCAGTTAAGGCGTTCTTGCATTGTTAATGTCTCTCCAGAAATGTGCACGTTTTCTACGAAATGACCCCTGCTCACAGGAAAGAACCCGTTCAAGGGATTGGGGTTTGCGCTAGCCTTGAACTGGAGAGCACTATGTGGTTCCTTCCTGTGCGGTTGGAATCCAGCTTCCAGCCTGTGTGGTTCTGGCTGATAAATTACATGAAATTATGTATGTCATAGCTACAAGACTTTTGAGGCAATGTGCAGAGGTTGCGGGGTTTTTTTAAATAATATTTGAAAATAATCTGTTCACTGACTTATTGACCACAATGAAAATGGTGATAGCAAGATCCTGGAAAACAATAAAATATTTAAATAGTAAAGAATGAATTAATACATTGAGAAAAAGAGGACCATCACAGCTGAGGAGAGGGATTTAATGTTGTTTATTGTGTCATAAAGGGTAACAAATAGCATAATCCCAAACAAGGTTACACCTCTCTAAACCCATTGACTTCAACAGACTTGGAAGGGTGCAACTCTGTTTGGGATTGCACTTGAAGTCTACTGAGCTGTCAGAGAGGAAGAGGTGTAGAAAAAAACCACCCCAGAAGCTAACAATGCCGATGGCATTTTTAATCTGCATCATCCTTTGTCGTCTCTCTCGTTCATCCCCACAACAGCCCTGTAAGGTAGGATACTACCGTTCCTCAACTGTGCATGGAGGAACCGAGAAATGAGGGCTGACCTGAGGCTCACTATGAGCACGGTTGTAAACCATGTCCTAGACTCAAGTCTTCTCACCTGTATGAACTTAAAGCCCCAAGAGACGTTGGTATGCACAAGGCGACAAATGGTTCTTCCCCAAGCAACGCGCCGCTGCCTCATGGGAAGTGGAGGGGATACCCCTTTTGAATGTGTCAGTCACGCACCAAACAAAAACAGTGCCTTAAACCTAATAGCTAATGATGCACACAATAAAACGCTTCATCCCAGCAGTGGTGCAAGGAAACCAACAGAGAGACAGCACAAGGGCACGGTACGTGCAAGCAGCATCCAATGGGTCATACAGGACCAGGCAAATTATATAAAGCACTGCAGGCCATAAAGTCCATGATAAAATATTAGAGTGGACAACTAAAAGGTGGGAAGAACTCAAAAGCCTGGGCCAAGAAGAATGTTTTGACCTGGTTCGTACAAGCGAAAAGAGGGCATTCCATAGGTTCGTACAGGCGAAAAGAGGGCATTCCATAGGTTCGTACAGGTGAAAAGAGGGCATTCCATAGGTTAGGTGCTGCCACTAAGAAAGCCCCGATGGTCACCCGTCTCCCTTCTGTAGGTAAAGCTACAGACAGCAAAAGATTTCCAGACGTCAGCTCTTCTTATCACTTCCACAAGTGCATTGGGGATATTTTCTTTGTATCGGGGGCAGGGTTGCACATAACTGGCCAAAGGAACTTTTGCTCGTGCTCTGAAAAATATTTTGGCCCCCAGGAAACCCCCCTGAGGTTTTACCCGAGTAGGACCCTTCGAATCTGTCTGAAATGTTTTTGTTTTATTAAGATGGAGGCCTGAGGTGAATGTTCACAACCTTCTTGATTATTATTATTATTATTATTTTGCTAGTCATCAAAATCTCTTTAGCTTCCCCTGAAATGCCACAAATGCTTTTTCAACATGCATCCAAACGTGGGGTCACTGCTGAGACAGTCAATGACTTAGAGCAGTATTTCCCAATCTGTGGGCCAGGACCCCAAAGTGGGTCGTGAAGCCTCTGCAAGTGGATCATGGGCCGAGCCCTCTCAAATGGCTGTCTCTGCCCCTTCCATTGCTCTGTTTTGTATCTTGGATGCCAAGATCTGACCCTGGAAGCAGTATCTTCCATGGCATACATTGGTGGTTTTCTTCTTCTTCACTGCATATACATGTTGATCAAATAAAACAAGTCCTGATGGTTAGTAGGATGAGTTTTTTTAGCATCTTAGAGTTTCTTAGAATCTTAGGGGAGATTAGTGGACATCATGGAGCAGGAGAGGGTGGTCAAAGGCTGGAATGCAACCCTCCAGATGTTGGAAAGCCACTTCCTTGGGGCTCATAGTGGGGCCAGCTGCACCCTTTGTGCGATGTTTGTTGGTTTCTCAAAAGACATCTGGTTGGCCACTATAGAAAACTGAATGCTGAACTAGATGGGGACCAAGAGCATGGTTTGTCTTGGGAGCCAAAAAATCTTTGGGCCAGCCCTGGCTGGATCACCACACCAAGTAAATTTGGACTTGTGGGTCACCGTGCCAAAAAGGTAGGGAGCCGCTGACTTAAGAGCAATGACGCTCCATATGTGATTTCTAGTTCTGAAATAGTGACCAGATGCGTCTTGGCATTCCAGTCTCACAATTACGTTGCACACTCCATAAAGGAAACAACATTCACAGAGGACATAAAGACAAAAGAGCAGGTCTGCTGCACAGCTGGTATGGTGTGAGAGCCAAGAGCCAGGAGCACACATCAAAAGAGGCCAATCTGATCATTCGCGATGTTCCTTCTCATTCTGCATCTTGCCTTCTCAGGACGTCTTCACATAAGCTGTGGCAATGTACTTTTTCCCATTGCCGTAGGTGGATTTATCCCAGGTGTATGTTTGGATATCCAGATCGTGACTCCCAAGTTTCAGATGGCACCTAGAGAAGAGAAACCTGGCATTCAGTCTCATCTCTCACCGAACCTGTTCCACCCATCCATCATAAGAGAGTGGGGTACCAATTGTTGTTTCAGACTGGGGGGAAAATAAGCTAGCTCTGAATCAAGCCAGCTGTGATTGCTGTCAACACAGGTATTCTTTCAGACAGATTGGCGGGTTTCAGATCTCCAGATTGGAACTTCATGCATCTTTGAAAAAGTGGGTCGAACCAGGGCATGTTGAGCTTTGAGCTGTACATACAGCAAAGCAAACTCTCCAGCCAACGGCTTCAGCATCTACAAATGGAAAGTCAACTCCTATCCAGTGTTCCCTCTAAGCTGAGTTAGTGTGAGCCAGCTCACAGTTTTTTTAGCCTCCAGCTCACACATTTTTGTCTTAGCTCAGGAAAAACGGCTCCAGAGCAAACTAAGGTCCCGTTCACACGCGGCTATTTGGTCCGGGAGCGGGACAGTTCGGGGCCGGATCAAACCGGCGCAATCACACCACCACATCTGGGAAGCGTCTCGCTTCCGTGGCCGAACTGTCCCTTTCCCGGGATAAGCTGGCGCAAACTAAACCACCTATCTAGGTGGTTTAAAGGGAAGTGGCGCGGCAACGGGGCGTTTGATCGCCGCCGCTTCCCTGCGCCGGCTCAACCCCGGCCCGGATCCGAACTGCGCATGCCCGGACATGCGCAGTTCGGCCGGCCCCCGAGTAGGGCGTGTTTTCTCCTCGGTGTTTGATCGCGCCGGGGAGAAAAGGCGGCGCGGCCGGGGGATCCGTGAGATCCCGCCGCGCC